GAAGAATTATAGCAAATTTATGATTCTGTATAAGAGAGATTTGTATTTAAATTTATAAAATAGTATTAATTTAAATTAATAAATAAAATATGTATAAATAGCTGCGAAATTAGACTAAGTTTTATTTTACATAAATAATAAATTTTTTTTGTCATTTTTTAATTTTTTTTTATTATTATTTTTATTATTATTATTTTTATTATTATTTTTTTATTATTATTTTTATTATTATTATTTTTTTATTATTATTTTTTTATTATTATTTTTTTTATTATTTTTTATTATTCTTTGTTATTTTTATTTATTTATTTTTTTGAACAAAAACACCCCAAAAAATTATATGTTTATCAAGTGCTTGTAATTAATATGCAAAAATATGTAGAAAGTGTGAAATTGTTTTTACAAAAGCTATTTATGAAAATAGGTTGGAGTATAATGAATTGGAAGCACCTTTAAAATAGGTGTACGTGTACGTGTGTGTGTGTGCGGGGGGTGTGTGTAAAAGAAAATGGCCGTATAAGTTACCAGCCTGACACCAGAGGCAGGCAATGAATATTTCAATTATTTTGCTTGCCGTACGTACTCTCTTCTCTCGCTCGCACTCTGTCGCTCTCAGCCCCAGCCCCACCCCCTTGGGTGTTGTACACATACGAAAAAAAAACAAAGTATTTGAACGCGCGCGCTGCTAGCTAAAAATATTTGCATGACATCATTCGACTTAGTTGTTGTTGCGAACGCGCGGCATCAATAATTTTCAGCTTTGCTTGCCTAGACTATATATGTATATACATAGATGATGTATATATATATCAGTTTGTATATCTGTATGTATGTGCACATAGCAAAGTATCAAACAGTCGGTTGCGCCCCACTGCAACATATTTATACTTGTTTTATTTTTTATGCTGCATTTTGCGGTTAGTTTGTTTGCTGCAAGCGCGAGGGTCATAAAAATGTTGTCACTATTTCTCACTCTCTACTCTTCTGCTTCAGCTTCATTACACATTTTTATTTATGCTGCGTTTTCTCTGTATTCTATTGCAGGCAAAGGCAAAGCATAAAAGAAAAGAAACTTGTACAAAATAAATTGCAAAGTATTCGGTTTTAAGGTGAGTTTTATTTATTTTCATTTTCTTTTTTTTTGTTCTGCTCGTGGACTCGCCTTCAATATCGATAACGATAAGTCGCAAGTGGAGAGTAAACAAACGTGCCAAGAGGCAACATAACTCTTGCCTTCACTGCGTGCTATCGGCGTGCAAACATTTACGTTTCAAAATGTGCAAACGATTATTGTGAATGATTTATCTACACTCTTCTTTGCTCTTTACACTTTACACTATTCCTCAGCAGCAGCGGCACTGCTGGAAATCTATCTATCTCCCTCACTCTCTCTCGCTTGAGCAACTATCGTTTTGCTTGTTGACATTTCTCTTGCATCATATGCTGAGGCACGCAGGGCAGAGATTCACTGTGTGGGAGAGAGATGGAGAGATCGAGAGACAGAGAACAGAACATTTATTAGCGCATTTCAAGTTGAGCTCTCAGTTTTTCATTTATTTCTTTGCTGTTGCTCTTTGAACTTATGGCATTATAATTGCCATAATTAAGTTTTGACTGTCAAAAAAAAAGAAGGAAGGAAAAAACTTAAGTGATATGTGTCATTTGTAATTTATATATTCTCAAGTTTTTACTCTTGTCACATCTCGTCTTTAATAATAATAATAATAATAATCGGCAGACGGGGCGAATGATGTCACTTGGCGAAAACCAGTTTTTGTTTAATTTGCATTTCTGTTGCTAGTTTGCCAAATATTTATTAACAAACATTTATAATTTATTCAAGCGTTCGATTCCGGTTGGGAGTTTCATTTCACTTTCATTGAGAAGTCAAATTTTGACAGCTTGGGAGACTACATAATGGGGAATAGCTGCAATACAGTATCAAATAGAAATACTGAATTATTTAATAAAAATAAATAAATAAAA